GACTAGTCTCCTTTGTCTGATGGTCAGTGTTTTGTTCTTGAATCATCACTGGCAGGCCTTGGCCGTGGTCTGTGTATTGTTTCTGCCACTCTCAGCTGGCCTGAAGCACTTCTTGCTGCATTGTGGTTGCTCGAGCTCACAGAGAATCCTTTCCTGTAATCGCTGATGGATTTAGCACCTGTATAATGGCATTACTCTCCTGGCTATTGGTTCCCATTTCTGTTTGACAAATTTCTTTTTAAGAAAAAATGCAAGGAGATTGGCTTTCTCTTGGATTTTTTTGCCGAATAGTCAGTACACTGAGTATTTGGATGATTGCTGGCTGGTCCTGAAGTCTCCCTATCGGTCTGGTCCACATCATCATCATTGCATTAGAGGGAATCACTCTCCTATTTCAAGAAGATTGTGCTGTTTAGGAAAGTGTTCATTGTCTGGATTTGTTATTGCTCCTCTTGTTCACAAATCCTCTTTGTGTTCCTGGATGTGTATGTGTTGTCTCTTTCATCAGTGGCCCCTCAGCTGCCTATGATACTAGATCCATTGGCTGGGGTGGGTAGAGTTGGGGAAGGGCGGTTGGTGGGGTGGTTGGAAGGAAGATTTGGTTGGTTCTTTTTTCTTTTTAGTAAATGCAGGTGAGTCAGTTACTCAAGATTTGAATCTGGTCCTTGTTTTTAAGGACCACCAAGTACAGATTTATTTTGAACATTCACACATGTGCAGAATTATCTGGGAAAACACTTGGGGAGAGAATTTTTTTTTTAACTTAAATGCTAGCACTTGCACTTAGAAACCCAACCAGAAGCCCTAGACAAAATGCCTCACTTGGGATATATGTCCCACTTCTTCTAAACCTACTGTTGGGCTCATGGAATACTTTGAACTGCTCAGAACAAAAACGTAACACAAACAGCAGGTAGTGATAGTGTCATTAGTTATTCTGTTTTTGCAGCTGGAAACTAGAAGGGTGTGGGATGAGGGTCAGCTGGGGTTTCCTGACTGGAGAAGTGTTCCCCAACCCGATCAGAGGGTGAGCATGTCAGGCAGGGGGACGAGTTCATAACAATAGCAATAATAATAGTGTTATAGCATAAAATGTAAGTGTAAAATATTATATTATAAAAGCATGATTTTTCCTAGTGTGATATCTTTTCGTTTACTGTGATAGAGTGTGCCAAGTAAAACACAAGAATATCTGGAATTTTGTGGTAAACAAAAATCAGCCAACTCTGTTGGGAGAGATGGTGCAAGCCCAAAAACTATATAGTCATGAGGACACAGCAAGCCACACTTGGCTTCTTGACCCAATTGTCAAAGAGCCGTCTGACAAACAAGTGTATATGTCCATTTCATCTTTGTGGGTCCATCTGAGGATGCTGTTAATAGTGATTGATAGCATACGATTTGCAGCCAAGTGTAGCTGGTTTGAATTATAGCTCTATCCCTAACTACCTGAATGTACTTGAGTTACTGTGTGACTCAAAGCCTCAGCTTTTCTTCTGTGAAATGGGAATAAAACTATTATCTCTATCATATGATTTTGAAGATTATACCATAATCATGAATGTACAACATGTGCCTGGCACTGGCCAAGTGCTCACTAAAATGTTGGTTATGATTATGAGATCATTAAACAATACAGAACTTCCAAACAGGAGCTCATACACAGGACTTCCCTGGAAAGTCATATATGTTATATTGCCTGGAAAGATCATAGATAGCTAGCCACGTTTTTGTAATCTTTTATAAATGTTTCCCTTTTAGTGTATATCATTGTCTAAGGGTAATCGTCAATTCCAGGAAGAAACCTGATGGGTACTTGGCATAATTCCTCATGGTATATTATGAGTTAGGAGGTTAGTCACTAGGCTTAGAGTTGAGACAAACTGTGCTTTTTCTCTAGGTTGCTTCGACTTTGGGCCTCTTGGTTATTATTTGCTCCAAAGCTCTTGGTTTTTAGTCTTCCTGTTCTTCAGCATGAGAGAGATTTCAGTTTTCAGAGGCCCCTGAAGTATAGGTCCAGGATAGTTGTCAGAAGGGGGTAAGTTTTAAGAATCCTACATTACCGTTGTGGACGAGGGAGTTCTCTGCACAGGACACTCAGCCTTCTCTACTCTGCTTGCACTCTGTATGTGGTCCACCAGACGTTTGATAGTTTCTGACATCTTCATGTCTCCATCATGCCTATAAAGATAAATACAAATAGGTTGTAAAATGTGAATCAGACTTCCCCATAAGTAAAAGTCTTCTCAGGTTACTAGCAAATTAACCTATGGCTGTTTGCTGAGCTAACTTCTAGTTACCCTCCCACACATAGAAACACCACCGACGCAGAATTCATTGGTTTCCCATATTACCTTCCTCACTTTATTTTGATGAAATTCAGGAAAATTTGAAATTAAATCATTTCTGAAGTTGTGCATTATCAAATGTCAGAGTAAACTACCTGAATGCCCCCTCCTTCCCATGTGTAGTTTCAATTTCCTGACGCTTAACGTCTTCCTTCTCATTACAAGCACTCCAAGAAGAAGTAGTTTTTGCAACTCAGCATGAGAACAAGTAACTCTTATTTCTTCAGGCTGAGTTGAATGCAGGAGGCTTCCTGAATCTGCTTGAATACAGCTGCTTAAGGTACAAGATAAATGTTCCCTGTTCTATTGTTCTTATTATATTTTTAGTGCTAAGGGCCACTAGGGAAATGGTTTCCCAATGGTCAGAACTTTATGCTTGATATTTCTGAAGGAATCTTGCCCTAGTGATAGGTAACATGGGAAATTTGCTTCTTTTTTCTTCCCCTAAAGGGTAACATTTAAAAAAATGGAAGTTTTAACTGAGTGTCAGATGTTATTTTAAAATCACTGAGTTGATACAGACATATTTATCAAATCCAAATGTACTTTTAGATATCTTGCTGTCTGCTTATGAAAAATAAGAAACATGTATGTTCCTTTGAGAGGATTCTGCTTTATCATAAATAAGTGGCTCAAGTGTCATTCCAAACTGAGCTTTTATGTTGCTGTTTTTGTCCCTCACCCAAGTAGCTATACTGGGAAAGAGAAAGGATATTGGCATCATATTGCAGGAAGGGCTAGAACATCTTACACTGAGACTAGACTTCACAATTATCCCTTGCCTGATTTCCTGATTTTTCTGGCCATAGTGCATTGACTTTGCTGAATTATGTGGATTCAATATTAGTCAGCAAAGGGCCAGATTATACCATTTATTTTAGTAGCAAAACTTCCCTGCCTCCTGGGATCCATCACAGAACCTCCCTCTCTGTCTTCAGTCTCGTGGATTATCAGGTTGTAGAATTGGTTCCTAATGAGTGTTGTGTCAAAACAAAATGATTATTTTGATTGGTCTCATATTTTTAAAACTCATGTGATTGGGTTTTAATTCCCTTAAGTGTAAGTTATTTTGTTAACGTAACCTTACAAAATAGATCTCCTTTTCCCCTCAAAAACTTTGAAAATTACAGCAACATCTCTCCTTTTATTTTTCATCTGAGAGCGTAGCAAAATGGTCCAAGAACTCTGTAGTACTTTTCTCTCTGCATTGCCTTCATTTTCAAGCCATCAAGGAGGAGCTGCAGCTTGTAATTTAGTAAAATACTATATTGTCTACACTTCCTAATGGCTTATTATGAGCCAGGACCTAAGTTAAATTCTTGGCATTACTTTGCTTCAGTTGGTACAATGAAGTGGATATTAGCTTCTGAATTCTTTGAGAAGTCAATTTCACATAGGTAGAAAATGAAGGAGCTCGAATCTTATCACTGAGCCCCCTCTCATTTGGAGGCCATCCTCAAACACATGTGTGTGGTGAGTGTGATGGGAAAATGTGATATAAAGTGAGGCGTTGTAGAGCTCCATTAATTGAAACTTAGCTGCAATTAAGATACCAGGTTCTTGCTCTACCCAGGAGATACCGGTGCTCATAAGTATGCATATGATGGGTGCAGAGAGTACACATGTCCCTTTCACACCTCAAGCAAAGTAGTAAGTCATTGTCTCCCTTCCCTACATACTCTGTCCCATCCTTTGTAAACATACTTCTAACATGAAGGTGGTAGGCGAGGAACAAATAAAATAACAGAAACTGCATGATCATTGCAATACTTCCTAGCTAAGTAAAAGATTGTCATACCTCACGTTCAAGACAACATTGAATAAGGATCCTGATTAGAATTTCAAGTACATACTGAGTTACGTGCCTTGCAATATATACGTATTCTTTGAGAGAGAACAGAAGTCTGTGTATGTGTACTTGTATCTGTTTTTTTGTACGTCTATGATTAGTACTGTGGTTCTCCAATGTAAGTGTCCACTCTTCAATAGTACCTTGGTGCTCTTCCATGCTTACAACCACAAAAAATAGTTATTGAATGCAATAACTACTTATTGCAAAGTAAAAATATTCTCGCAGCTGTCTGGGCCTTGAAGCCCAGCTTTGGAGCCCATATTCTCGTTTTTTAAAAACATGAAAATGGGAACTTGGTTTCAGTTGAGGCGTTTTCTGTATCTAGCACGTACATACAGAATGCTAACCATGGCTAAGATCTTTGTCTAATTACAAATCAATTGCCCGGCTGTGCCACCGAACACAGAGTGTTCCAGAGGCCTTCGGGTTTTGACATTAGCTTAGGTCCCGTTCCGAGGACAAGGGGGTGACCCCTAAGGACGGCAGGGCCAGCCCCGGGAGCCATTTTGTTGAGGAACCTGGAAATCCTCACCCTTTAAAAAACTCAGTTACACCAATGAATACCACATTATTTCTCAAACTTACAGTTCCATTTTCTGCCTCCCCCAGACGAATGTCACTTCTCCCCGCTGAGAACAAGAGCGGCTTTTGGCATTTGTTTATCCCAAACCCAAATCGCTGACCCTTTGATTTTAGTACTTTGCCATTTTGCTTTCGCTTTTTTAATTTGCTTGTGACTCTCTGCTTCCCCCACCTTTTTTTTTTTTTGGTACAATGATTCTTGCCTTGTCTTTCCCCAGTCCGTTTCTGACCTGGAGAGACGTGCAGCATGTTATTGTCAGGACTTCCCGTGCGGGACATTTGAACGCTAATGACTGGAAAACCAATGCTGCTGGTTTTAAGGGTGAGAACTTCTTTCATATTCTGTCACAGGCAAAATATTTTTATTTTTCCCCCATTTTAAATGGCGAGCAGGAAAGAGAACCCCTCAAAAGAAATTTAAAATTCTGTGCTGACACCCAAAGAGGCTTGATCTTTTAGTAAATAAAAGGCAGGTTCTTTTTTTCTTTAAAAAAAACAACATATGGAAGGCAGCATTCCTGGGCTTCCCACATCATAGGTCCATTTCTTAAAAGATAACCAACTTCCAAGAACAGTCGACCTATGAGGCTCCTATTAGTTTATTATCTGCTGTCATTGATGATCTGAGTGGGACTGTAATAATGTATTTAAAACTCCTCAGCTTCTATAATGATTACTTCCACTGAAATGAGAACTGGTGTTTTTTTTGTTCACTTTCGTGTAGCACTGTTAGTGGCTGGGCCGTGCTTTCTATAAATTTTGCTTTTGTTGTATTTTTTTCTTAAAACTTCCACAAACAGAAAAACAGGCATAATTCTAAGATATTACTTTATACAACCATAAGTTCTTAGGAAGCTTTATCATGCATAGTCCTCACACATTTGTGTGCAATACGCAGGGGCCGACTGTTTTTCCCATGGCTGAGAGAGCTCCATAATTGTTCCAACAGTCTTACTAACACTGGCCATTTTGTTTGTCATCTCCCACAACATTCGGTATCATAAAGAGACCAATTATATAAAGCAGGTATCCCAAAGCTTAGTATATTTACTCAGGATTCAGATGACCTAAATTTTAATAAATTAACTTACAATAAAGATGACTTTCTGTCATATCTGCAGACTTAAATAGACTCCCAAATAATCTTTGAATCATGATTTATCCCTTTGGATGATAAAAAGTATCCCAAAGCACAGGGATAGTTAAAAATGGAGGTTCTGGTGCACAGATCATTGCTAATAAGATAAATAGTCCTGGGCAAGTCATTTAATTTTTCTGGGCCCTAGCTTCCCCAACATAAACATTTTAGAAGTGGAATAATATTATCTACATATGCTATCTTACATATAATTTTAATATATCCTTGGTGAATTATATGCAATATACACAAATGTTCATGCTAGAAATGTAAAGTGTAATTTTACAGATTATTTGCAAATATCTTATGGTCTCATGCTTAGTCCAGAGCTAAAAACATACCAAGTAAGCAACACCATGTAAAATAGTTCTTTGATACCATCTTCACTGAAGGCTTCACTCCATGATTAGAAAAAGTAGTCTCTCTGCTTTTGAGTATTGTCAAACTCCTTTCCATGCTCTTAGACTACATAATGCAGCAGTAAGTGTTCAATGAGCTTTTAATCTAAGGAGTTGTAAATATCTGTTGGGATCACATTTTCTGCAGCCTAAATCGAGACATTTGATCCCAAATAGCAATGATTACGTGCAGCATTAGAAACACTTGAAATTTCAGTTGTTACAGAAAATCCAGGATATAATTTGCTGTATGTTTCCTTTTGATTAGCTTCTGCATGCTCTCAGCTCCAACTGTATAAATCCATGAGGCTGGGGTTGGGGCTCCGGAAGGGGGGAAGAGGGGACCAAAACATAACCTTGGCTGGCTCGATGTTGCAATGAACTTCTTCATAGAAGGTTCACAGACTAAGTACATTGACCTCCATGAAGCGGAGGAATCAACTTTAACTGAAATAAAAGTCTAAGTTTTACTTACTCCTTTTTGGCAACTTAAAAAGAGCAAATGGTTCTAATAAAGAATGCAACTCTTCTGAAAACCTCTGTTGGTTTCGGAGAGGGGGAAACAGAGGATTTAAACTAAATCTCCAGATCCAAACCTGAGGCCAAAGGGGCTGAGCACCCCTCTGGCAGGGAGGAAAGAGTCTTTTACTATTGCACGTGGCAATATTTAGTATAATATTTCATTCTCCTCTGAGATTGCTGCCAAGAGTAACAATTAAAGTTCGCTTTTTCATAGATGAATTACCCTGAATGGTCTGGACTCCCAGTGGAATTGTTTTGTAATTTTGTTGATGGCAAGCCCCATATTTCATCTAAACATAATCATAATAAGAATTTTGTAAAAAAAGTTATTTTCTTCCCTACTCTAAGCATACCATCCCCTCCCTAGTGTCCCACAAATAAAAGTGATTAAGGCAGAGGCTAGCAGGAAAGGAGATGTGCTTTGGGGAAGGAGAGAATGCAGGTCACTAGGACTGGAGAAAGATGGGCTGACTTTTTATGAAATAAGAACTGAACAAACAAAAAAATAGCTAATGCTTGGAAGAGGTTCATGCAATGAGAGCTCAGCAAGAGCTCATATTTTAAATTAGGTCAGCCAGCTTTTACAGGCTTTGCTTAGCCGGAACACATGGCCAAACATTTCTCCTTAGACAGGTGAAAACGGAAGTTGCCTGCAAACAGAAGCATGTAACCATAGATGCTCCCTCTTCCCATGCAACTTGGTCCTAATGCCAAGTAGATGTATGCATGAAACAAATCTGAACCACTTATGCTTCCCTGGGCTTGCTTGTGTGCCCTAATGTCAAGAAAGTTTACTTATTTGAAAAGTGTTTTTTTTTTTTGAAGAAAAAAGAACATGGTAATAATCTCACAAATTGCTTGGTAGATAATCTGCAATGAATGTCAATATTAATGTCAGAATTTACTTCTCATCAGGTGAAGCAGAAGCAGCTCAGAGGAGCAACCATGTTGGTTTCAGGGTCTTGCCATCAGTAAATTGGTAGTCTTAGTTATCACTGCTCAGTTTAGAGAAACCAGAACCCTAAAGAACAAACTCTTGCCAAACCCTGCCTAGTCCATTGTGTACAGTGTCTTTACATTTCTTCAGACATACCCATGTGTAATACATCCTAGGTAGAAAACAGAGCCAGATGGTTACGAACTAGACTGGTGTGGGCCTCTTCTTAAGGCAGACCTGATCTCTCTTTACCCACATGTTATGGACCTGGACAATGGAAGATTCTCCCCAGAGGCAGCTGCTGGCTTCCTGTTGACTGCCTAGACAGGCTGTCATTAGGGCAAGGAGGTTGGCCTTGAGAACCTAAAGAATGTGGCCTTCTAGTGACTTATCTATGTGTTTCTCTGAGACTGGGATTGGCTTGGAGTTGCACACTCATGAGCTGGGTGCCTAGAATTTTCTCCTTGCTCTGTGCTGTCTTTATAATAGCATTCTAAAAGTGCATAGTGAGATAGGCTCACAGTGAAGGAGATCCGAAGCTGGAAGCCACTCATCAACATTTTTAGATGAATGGTACCTTAATTCTGAACAATTTTAATTGAATACTTTTTAACAACTTGAATTGAAAATATTCTGGCCTGTGCTCTTAAATAATAAAAATAATCTCTTGTTGTATAATTAAAGGGTCTTATATAGGAAATTCACTTTTCAAAATAAACATAGTCCAATGAGTACATACCTATGGAAACTAAACATCATTTTGATTTTTCATTGTTTGCATAATACTAGTTGAATTTCAGACAACACCCTTTGGATTTTAACTTCCTCCAAAGATGGTTCCTTCAAAAATAAATGGAATGAGTATCACCTATCAAAGAATTTACTGGAGCTTGTACATGAGAATAGGGAAGTATTTCTATGAGACCAGATGAACAGATGTGATATTTGCCACCAGAGAACTAACACTCAAGTTCTGGTATTTTGCTACTGACCAACATGTGCAATGCCAGAGATAACTTTGGCATTAAATTATTTGTTTGGGGCTTTTTCCAGTGGCAATTCCTCCTCCTTTGATTCCTTCCCTTTCCTCTTATGAAAGTCTTTTGTATTTTTTCCTCTCTGTTCTTTTTAATATCACCCTTGTGCTCCTCAAAATGTACCAATCAGCTGTAGAAGCAAGGGTTTTTGCCATCTGGGTGATTCTCTTCATGGAATTCAGTTTATGCAGTCTCTGCATTTATCCATTCACAAATATTTCTTAAGCGCCAGCCCAACACATGTTGAAGTGCACCCAAAAAGTGGAAGTGAAAGGAAATGTCAGGGGCCCCGTGGCATTGCCTAATCTGATCTGGCCATGGTATGATTTACATACAGTAACAGACATTTATACGCACTTTTTTCCCCCTTCAGTCAAGCCCAAACGGTCTGCCAGGTCATGTTTATAAAAGTGTCAATGATATTTCGCTCATCATCTAAAATGCAGCTTGACCTCAGCAGCAGAAGCATCAACTGTGTCTTTTGTGTCAGGCAGTGTATGCTTTAACTGGCTCTGTTTGTGGGTACAGGATATGGAGACCATAACAGCCATGCTGAGGACTTTAATTCTGCATTCTTCTAGAATCATATCATTTTGGAAAGAACTTAGCTCTCTGTTATGATCCCCTCGCTTTTACTGCTTTAATCTGAGAAACCAACAAATCCACCACCCCTCTCTCGCCCAGTGGCCTAGGCTGTGCTGGCTAATTCCTCCCCCGAGTCCTTGTCTCTGGTTTGCAGATGCAGTTACAAATATAATTGCATCCATGTCACAGCAGTGCTTTAGCTTTTCTCAATGTCTCTGTGTTTGGATTATATGACTGTATGCAGTTAAACGCTCTTAAATCTAGAAACAGGAATAGACATCAGATAATAAATTAGGACCTTCTGTCATCTTTACTAGGCGAAAGAATGAAAAAAATGTCATTGAAAATCAAAAATGACAACTAAGTGAGCGAGGTTACCACGCCTTCCATTTCACTGCCCTCCCAGACTATGTAAGTCTCTTTTTTTCTACCAGCATGTTGCTGAAACCTCCCCATCCCCACTGACTCTTTCTCTGACCACAACTAAACTACTAGATTTTTTTTTTAAATTTTCTAACTGATTTCCCACCATGTGGAAAACAATTGACAGCCTAACATGACTTCTTAGCCTCCAGGGCCTTAACTTTTAATAACCTTTATTATTTTTAATTGCCATCATTTTATTTCCTGGTAGGGCTGGTAATTTTAAGATGTTCCAATATTTTTTAATACCTACCTGTCTTGCTTTCAGTTTGTAACACTTAT